TTGTTTCATGTCAGTTATCTATGAGATAAACTACATATGCTCGAGTTTGGTGCTTGCCGGTGTGTATGTCATTTTAATAGCTAAGAACATCACGTTACTCTTATGTTTTCCCGAAGGCAGATCCTGAAAAATGCGAAGTACTGGACTGGGAAAGCGTTCAAACATCATAACCGGAACAGCAAGAGGCCTTCAATATCTACACGAGGATTCCTGGCTTAAAATAATTCATAGAGATTTGAAGGCAAGCAATGTGTTGTTTGATGATGATATGAACCCCAAGATATCGGACTTTGGCACGGCAAGAGTATTTGGAGGCAATCAGGTTGAAGCCAACACTGTGAGAGTTGTTGGCACATAGTAAGTACTACATTTTGTTCCTTCACACTATCATTATTGGTAACCATCTGTGTCATGAAATGTCAAATATGAGAAGGGAAAATAGATTTGAAATGCATAAGATAAACAATCGCAATAAGTATGTAGGCATCCGGAGTTTACAGTGTTTTTACTTTAATGTGCAGTGGCTACATGGCACCAGAATACGCGCTTGAAGGGCTGTTTTCAAACAAGTCCGATGTTTACAGTTTCGGAATCCTGATGCTATAAATATTAAGTGGCAAAAAGAACAGGGGTTTCTACCATCCGGAGTGTGGACAAAGCCTTCTAACATATGTAGGCATCCTCTATTTGTTCTCTCTTCCTCATACCTAACCTTAAGGCTTATTGTACCTAAACATATGACCCTGGACAGGCATGGCTACTATGGAATGAAGGCAAAAGACTGGAGTTGATAGATCCAAACATCGCTCGAAATCATCTGATTGATGTGGCTCTGAGATATATACACGTCGCATTGTTGTGTGTTCAGGATGACCCTGCACTTAGGCCTGCAATGTCATCAGTTATTCTCATGCTTGGGATCTCCCCCAGCCTTCAACCTCTCCATGTTCTGCAGCAAGATTTTTACATATGATCAATCTTCAACCACTGGATCTTCCTTTCTCATTCTCCAGATATACTTGTACATATAATCAAACTTCAACCACTGGATCTTCCTAGCTCAGAGATTTAAGAATTTGCAGAGATAGACTTCATTGGGGACCTTATAGGTTCTGGTTTATAATTGTTTTTTCAGAATCTGTTTTGCTTTGAAAATTTAAGAATTCATGGATAAAATGAAACTGTTGTGAAAATGTAAGCCAATAATCAATCGAAAACATGGGAACATATTTCATAAGTCTAAGACAAATATGAATGTCATTGATTTCCCCAACCATTTAATATCAATCTTTGAGTTTTCCATGATAAAAACAATGCTATTTTTCTTATGTATTGAGATCAACTTGACAAAAGGAAATGGATTTAACACTATAAATCTCAACCCTAATTGCCCTAAAATGAAAGTGGCAATTTTCTTATTCCTCGTCTTCCATATCCAAATCAACCTCTCTGATTTGCTTTCATTTTGTATGATACCTTTTCAACTGTAATTTTTCCTTTTATTACATTAAGATTCCATGGCATGGATTCCATATCCAGCCTTAATTAATAGCACAATTTTGTGACCTAAAGAAGAAAAAGCATACCTCTAGGAACATTCTTTATAAAATAGAGGGTTAATACACTTTTTTTAGTTCCTAAACTATACCTCAAAATACAATTTTGTGCAAGCTTAATATTATAATTAAAAAACCAAAAAAACCCCTCAAATTTTAATTCTTCGATCAGTCACTGTCGGTCCGTGGCCGTCACCGTTAACATCATCAGAACCATCTCGCCGTCACGACCAAAACCCAGTCTCCCACACCGTGAAACTGCGTCAATAGTTGTGAAAAACGTCACGAAGGGTCACCAATTTTTTAGGTTTTTCGTTGCTGTTTTCCGATGATTTCGACGGATACATTTGTCTATACATTACACAACCGCCACTGTTGAGTTCCTCGTCCTGCTCTGAACAAAACCCGACCTGTGGTGACCCTTCGACGTAGGAGGTGGGGAGAGGGATGATGCAGGAAGAGTGGTTTGATTTTTTTCTTTATTTTTAAATATTTTTATTATTAAAAAGTTAAAAATATTATAATAACCACCTAAAAATATAACAGAGAAAACGTCGTGCACATATTTTTAGCAAAAAAAAATAGAATTCTAAATTAATCGAGCGAATAATCCTGCCACATCAAAATTTGTTTTTTGTTTTAATTTGTTTTGTTTTCAGTTTCATGAGAAGTTTCTGTCATTAAATTGTGTTCCCCATTTTTAATTGGAAGGGAAACTTCCTGTGCTTTTCTCTTGTTCCCCATGTAACCTGCGTCGAAATTATCTGTTGAAAGACAAACGAAAATAAGAGATTGAAGGATTCTTAATTTTAATGTTTACATGTTTAATTAATCATGTAATTCTTAATTAAGTTGCTTAATTAAATCCATTGAAAAGAAAGCCATTGGAACGGAGCTGACATCAATAAAGCTACATTAACTAATATTGTTATTTCAAATTGATTGCCTTTTTGTTCTTTTCCCCACAAGCTGCCATGCAAATGCAATTCAAAATTCTCATCCTCATATAAGAACGTTTTGTAGGACTCTTCCTTCGACACCAACACTCATCTGTAGCAAAAATGAAGAATCAGAGTTTGCTAAGATGGGTTTCTCTCACCCTTGCGATTTTCATCTTCCTCATCAGCCAAAGCCAGTCCCATGCAGCAACACAAACGCAACCCATTTTAGATAATCTCACAATCGAGAGCCTCATCAACATAACTCTCCAATGGAGAAGTAGTTCTCATCATCTTCTAAAAGTTCATGGAAACTTGGAGCTATCAACCACTTCAGTGGTAGCAGGCGTGTTGAGCTTCGTAGCTGCCTCCATGTCCAGCGCAGGAGGTGTTGGTGGCGGAGGGTTGCTAATTCCCATTCTCACGATTGTGGGATGTTTGGACCTCAAAACCGCCACGAGTTTCTCGGCTTTCATGGTCACAGGAGGGTCGATTGCGAATGTTATGTATAACTTGCAAGCCAAAAGTGCCAAGCTCGGGGGTAAGACATTGATTGACTATGACATCGCACTTTTATCAGAGCCATGCATGCTGTTAGGCGTAAGTGTGGGAGTAGTTTGCAACCTTGTGTTACCAGAGTGGTTGATCACCATCATGTTTGCCATTTTTCTTGTTTGGTCTACCCTTAGGACATGTAGAAACGGTGTCGGGATTTGGAAAATGGAATCGCATCGATATCTAGGAGCAAGAAACGGGTATGAAAACTTGGAAACTGGTGAAAGTGGCGAGGTTAAGAGTGTAGAAGAACATTTAGTGAGCATGGAAGGAAAAGAAACTCCAAGGTTCCCATGGAAGAAATTGGTGATCTTGATTATGGTCTGGTTTTCCTTCTTTATCATCTATCTTCTTCGTGGGAATCGCTATGGACAGGTAACGTTTTCTTGTCTCGTTGCCTCATCTTTCTTTGGAATACAATTTGCATGTTTCATTTTAAAAAACGTCTTTCTTTCGAATACCCGGATTTACAATGATTGTCATACCAATTATAATAACAAATAATATCTTGTAGATTTTTATAGGCTTATGTTAGAACATCTCATGGGATTCAGCTGATCAGCTTTATGTGTATTACCTTATTCTTTCCTTTTTTTATAAATGATGTATGAAAGTTTAAGGATGCTGACAGATATCTTTAATCAATCTACTTTAAAAATATGGTATATAATTAATCTAAAATGAATTTAATTAGGTAGAGTGGAAGATGGTCCAGGGTTGATTATAGCCTATAGACCAATGTCTTGTCTTAGTTTACAGCAAACCCACACAAAAGAACTAAAGAGAGAGCAAAGTGACAGGAGGCTACCTTATTTTGGACTTACCTGGAGAGTGAAAAATGATAAATGAGCTTTTATACCAAGTATTGAGCTTTGACGCGGCACTATCTGCCCACTTTTCGTATGAAAATTTCTTAGCATTAATTTTATAAAATTAGAAGAGAATTTTCAGTTTTATTCAAGAATTTAGGATTGCATGGAATGATGTTCAATGTTTATAACTATTAAAGCAACATGCAGGGTGTCATACCACTGAAGCCTTGTGGAATAGGATATTGGGGGCTCTCACTGTTTCAAATCCCTCTCGCCATAGCTTTTACAGCATGGATCCTTCGCAGACAATAACCCATTGCCTGCCGAGGTCCAAATAACCAGGTGCTTAACAAAATCTATTTACAAAATTAGCTACCCACTTGAGACCTAATTAAAAACTAACCCTTTCTTCTTTATTTGTGAAGGGGGTTAACAACCTAATTTTCCCCTTAATGGCTCTAATGGCTGGAGGCTTGGGTGGACTTTTTGGAATTGGAGGTGGAATGCTTATAAGCCCGCTTCTACTTCAACTTGGTGTAGCCCCAGAGGTTAGTATACAGATCACTTCTCCCTGTTTTAACCATTATAGAGTTCCATAGTTTTATCTTACTACAAAAGGCCAAAAACCAATTGTTCAAACCATTTGCTCCAGGTTACGGCAGCTACTTGTTCTTTCATGGTTTTCTTCTCGTCCACAATGTCTGCGTTTCAATACTTATTATTAGGCATGGACCACATTACCACTGCCCTTGTATTTTCAGTCATTTGTTTCGTCGCATCTCTTCTCGGATTGGTGGTGGTGCAGAAGGCCATAAAACAGTTCGGAAGGGCATCCATAATCGTGTTCTCGGTTGGTACAGTGATGGCTCTGAGTGTCATTTTGATGACTAGCTTTGGAGCTCTTGATGTTTGGGATGACTACTCATTGGGAAATTACATGGGATTAAAACGACCTTGTTAAAATCAAATTCTGTGAACTTGTCAACTGTGTTTTACTTCAGCTTTTTAATGAAGAGGTAGCTTCAATGGAAGCAGGAGGAATTAAATACCTTATGTGTTTAAATTCTCTTCAAACTCCAATTTCATCAAATGGCTGATGCTATCAATGATTGCAGCAAAGAAATCAAAAAGGTCAATGAGCAAATAAGCTGGTTTTACTTCGTTTCAGGTAGAAATTACACAAAAACAATTTAAGTCCAATGTAATCAGCACTTTCCAACTTTGAGGATACCTAGCTTCAAAGATTTAGCAACAATAGTTGACCAAAATTTAGTCGTACAAAAATTAGAAGTTATCTTAGCAACCAATGTAGCTTCAGACATTGCTTTCACTTCTCACTTCTCATATTCTTCCAAAGGGGAGTAAAAATGTAAAAAGTATCAATGAAGGATATAATTAGGAACAACGGTTCTTTGTGCTGAAGAAGGCAACCTCAAAATAACAGGCTGGCAGCTTATGCGACCGAAGGGCGTAGAATATGATCCTGTGATATATCCACAGCAGCAGGAGGCAAGAATTGCCACATGGAAACTCTGGGAAAGCCAACGAAGGGCACCAGCTTGCCACCGACAACTTGGCTTGGGGTAGAAACTGGAGTTGGAATAGCAGTAGCTTGAGGCACAAATACTGTCTTAGAATCTAATGCCTTTATTTGCCGCTCGAGATTATCTCTCTCGGTCTTTAGCTTTTGCTTCTCATCGCGAAGTTCATTCTTTTCAGCCTACAACATAAAACTCCACTCAATAAAGACTAGAGCCACCTGGAAATTTTAAGCAATATTGATGCATCAAATAAAATTTTTAACATGCAACACTCATCCCAAGCTCTCACCTTAAGCTCATTAATCTTCACCTGCAGACTCTCATTTGATTCCCTCAGTTTCTGGGCTTCATCCCGTAATTGAGTAACCATCCGAACTGCATCAACCAATATAGCAGCCTTGTCCATTTTGGAAGACCTTCCGGGATCTAGGACACAACCCAATTCTAGAAACCTTGAGACATTGTAATACAAACATCAGAGGAGGCAAAAATGGGTTGACGAGAGAGAAAAGGGGCAACAAAACATGCCTGCCATTTAGCTTATCCCTTCGCATCTTTTCTCTGCAAGCTTTGGATCCAGATGCACTGCCTGAACCAGACCTCATCTGATATAGAAGAGCGAAGAGATTACAAAAGCAAACCAGGTTTGAAACCAAGCACAATTATACCATAAAACTGGACAGAAGCAGACTAGAAACTGCATTCCTAAACGATTCATTACGATTGTACGAATACAATAAAAAATGGTAATGATTGATTAGCTGCATACCGTTTTCGGAAGCATATTTCATTAAGATTGTCTGAATTCCCAAAAGATTCAGTAAATCCAACACTGCAGAAGTATTAAGGAAGGTTAATGAGCAATCAATATAGCCTAGCTTAAAGGAGCAGCTGGGGCCATGATAGCTTGCCAGCTACTTAGCTTAGTACCCAATTCCATTGCTAAACATGACATCCTCAATAAGGATAAACAAGCATGAGTACCACAATGTTGAGAAGATCCCAGCTTGGAACTTCGCCTGCTTGAAAGTTCAGCTAATCAAACATGAGAGATTTACAACTACTATTGGATTCCATCCCACCTTAAACTTCATAAGCAATGAAGAAAAAGGGAGTGAAAAGAGGAACCTGAGAGGAGTAGAACAAGGGAGGGACGGATCAAGTGAGGGAAGATGACCACCAGGAACAGGTATGTCTTCTAATAAACCATAATCCTCAAAAATCCAGGCGTTGGGATTTTCAGGGGAGACCAGATCCTCCGCAGCCGGTTGCCGCCGGGACATAATTTTCCCGGAAAGTATTCAGAAATATCAGAGAAGCGGAAGATACGGGTTTTTTTTTCGGAGGAGAAGAAAACAGAGAGATTACACAGATATGGAACGAGTGAATTTGGTTGATTTGGGGAGCTTTGGGTGGGAAGATTGCGATGATAGGGAAACGTAGGGAATATTTACTTTGGATTTATCATTGAAGAGAGAGAGTCCACATTCCTTGAGGATCTCGACTTTTTTAATTGCATTTCCAGTCCACTGTCACAAACAAAGCCACCACGCGCAGAAAAGACCAGACCAGGGCCACCTTCTTTCGGCTTCGGCTACGCAGGAGCGACACATAAACAACAATCCTTTCTAAAATAGGCTTTTATGTTTATGTTTTCGTGGATGTTGGGCTTCAGAGACTCGTATGTTGCTATGAAACTTCATTATGTAAAGTAACATAAGCCCAGGAATATGGGTTTTCAGTATCGACTGTGTTTTGGGTTTGTCCCATCTCCGAAAAGACAACGCGACTTATTCGTTTTCATTGGTTGATACAAAATTAAAAACCAACAAGAAAAATCGATTTGTTCATTCTTTAAACAACATATTTCCCCAATAGGATCGAATTCTAGAGTAGTCAACTTCTCAATCACATTCCCGAAGCTTGGAATCACACTCATAAGACGATACACAATATAAACACCCTATTTTACACGTTCGAACATGTATAAACATCACAAGCATCAATCCTACGCAATATATGCACGATTGGATTGCATAAAACCATCAATCCGTTTCCTTATCTCTTCTGGATTTGCACCAATCAGCTTGTCAACCACAGTACCTTCCTTCATCAATAAGAATGTTGCCATTGCCTTGATCTCCATCCTCGTTGCCACCTCCTAATAATCCACTCATATCAACTCTCATCTTACATAAGAAACATGTCCACGCAAATACAATAAATTAATTCATTTGGACCCTCACTTTTTTCAGAAGAAATTGATTATTCAAACTATATTGTCTAGGGTTTTTTTTTTATAGCAACAGGAATTAAAAAAAAAATAGAGCATAATGTGAACCAGCATTCAAAATGACTTTACCACTTACCAGTCATCAACTCATTATACCTAATAATGCCAAAAGAAATCATCCTTATCACAAAAGGATCATACTTATCCTCAAATGCCACATGTTGTGATCTAGCTTACAAGCCGAAACATATCTTTCTGAAGATGATTCTACCACATCCTCAGGAATAAGATACTGAACACTCTCTATTTGTATGTATTTTAACAGTTCTATCAGCATTTGTATGTAATATCAAGAGATCATAGAGTTGTTACCTTAACATCATCAACATCAACGGTGAGAAACAGGAGATCTTGGAAAGTTAAGGCCAGTTCTTCAAAAAAGGGGTTCATGGCCACCGAGGGAATACACCATGCAGCAGTGAAGTGTACAAAAATCTACAACATACCCAGAAAAAATACTGAAGTTAACAACTCTGGAGAGAAATAATCACAATAAAATCCTTCGTTGAGATCGTTTCTAGAAACAAAGCCAAAAGATTACCCTCTAGAGAATTTTAAACATGATGGAACATGAAGGATTGAATAGCTTACAGGGCAGCCTTGATTGGTAGCTAGGTTAAAATAGAAGTCCCAGGATTGAACAGAGTCTATCTTCACAACTCTAGACTTGTTTTGCTGCTCTTCTTGTCTCTCCATCTTTTCCTTCTCTTTCACCTCTCCGGGCAATCTTCTTTGATGTTTTGTTGTCTTGCTTGTTGCAACAAGAGAAATGTCCTTTAGACTATGACAAGATATGGAAGCTGAAAAGCTAGGCCCACATTATCTTCATCAAAATTGTAAGAAGAATCTGAACGAAAAGACAGACTTTTCGCCTTCTGTCTTGATCTTGATAACTTCAACTTGTAATAAATGGCGTGGTTTTATCATTTACTTTTGTCATAACAGCTATCATTCCTTTTCTATTTTATAAATGGTTGTTTCCATCTTTTGGATATGCTTCAATAAATATCTCCCTTCCCTTAGAAGAAAACAAAAAATATTCTAGATTTGTTCTTTTGCTAGCCAAATACATATGTTTCATTTACAAATATTCCCCTACTCTGTTCTTTTCACGTTTTTACAGGGGCGTGTCAGTGTTCGGAAATCCCAATGAAAGAGCTAAAAATTACTAATGTTTCTTTCTGTATTCATCAAATGATGAACTCTTACCATACAACAATGAAAAAGTTACTTTTGTGGCAGAGCCAAAAAAAATTCTCCTAATCATATCAGACGCACCATAAATCTAAGAACACAGATGATTAGTAGTAGCTCAAGAAGAAGCTCTCTACGGATGATACATAAACCCTTCACTTACAAAATGTAGTTACCACTATTATAAAAGAATGTGATAATAATCATAACTTGAGTTCAGCCACAGCTCAACCGAGAATCAGCTGCCCGCAGTGTCATCTGACGACGGGGAACTCCAATTTCACAAGCATTGACTCTAGCAGCAAAACCGGAGGGAGCATAGAGACTCGCCCACAGAAGTCGGATCCGGTGATACATTGACAAACATAAGGGTTTTAGAATCTCCACCAAGACAAGGCTGTAATTACGATGGAAATAAATTTAAAAGGTAATCCAGTGATTCATTGTCATTAATAACAAAATCTGATATCAGCGAACACAGAGTGAGCATCAACCAAACGGATGAAAGAGGATAAGTTATTCTAGAGCACTTTACCTGAAGAAGATATGTCAGCTTGGAATTCCTAAAAGGCACATGATCCTCCTTTTTGGCCAATGCAAATATCACATCACTCAAACACGATAAGCTCTTGTTAATTGCCTAGTTTGCATGGCAAGAAAACAGTATAATAACGTTAAGAACAATTTATGGAACGGAAAAATCCAGTAGGGCGTTAAATACCTGAGTTTCCTTCAACCTATCCCCAGTTGCACCACTCTTTGACAGTCGTTCACTTCCTGCAAGATCAATGAGGTTCAAGACACCCTGTAATTGTTGCTCAGTGCCCTAACAAAATGAAGTAAGGAAATGTCAGTATGAAAGAGGGTCATCAAGCGACTCAACACCAAACTAAAGCACTCAAAAGTATATTTACCTCATTCATGCCCGATATCCTTAATGTGAAAACCATGTGACTTCTAGAAGATTGCTCATTCATTTGCGTCCTGCCCACAGACCTGGAAAACAGAAAGTACAACTCCCCTTGAATATCCCCAAATTGTACTATAACATTGTCATTGAGGAGAAACCATGAGGCATTTTATATCAGAAACAAGCTTTTTTGTTTGTTTTTGTTTTTAAGTTCTGTTATACCCAGGCTAGACAACTATCTCATCATTCATAAAACATTTCATAGTTTGCAATATTGACAAATTTAACACTTAAAATTTCCTCAGACTTTGGTAGATGCATAACACAAGAATAATCTGTACAAGGTTGGAAAATGTCTTAAGACTAAACAATTTTACCTGCTTTGAGCTGCCAGCCTTAAAAGTGAAGAAATCTCAGTTATGGTGCTGACATCGACAATGGTCAGATCACTGACATATGTATTACCATTTAAGTCATGTTTAATTGTGTACTGCTTTCCAGAAACTGCACTTTCTGAACGTGTTGAATCTGAACCAATTGATCGATTGGTTGATAACAAATCACGGATAGTCTCGTTGTATATTTCCAACATTGAAGCCTAAAATTTTTAGACGGGGATGATTAAAACAATGATTAGCCAACAAAATAAGTAGAAATCAGAATCAAATCAAATTACCTGCATTTTGTATTTCCAGCCTTGTGCTTGCAATGACTGGCTACTTTGAAATATCTGCTCCAATGAACGAGGTATCAACCCTTTTTGCTCTGGAGCTTCAGGCCTTCCCATCATGGTGTAAGTCTTACCTGAACCTGTCTGTCCATAAGCAAATATACAAACCTGAAACAAACCAAACAACCAACAGCCTATTAGTCCATATTTACTTCAAAGGGCAAATTATGTGAATCAGATAGCAACCATACATAATCATTAGTGATTTTATAATTCAAATATCAAAATAGATACTGCAGGACTCAACTTCGAAGAACAAAAGGATTTGCTTAGTTTACAAAAAAAAAGAGTATAAAGTAGCTACATCACCTTGTATCCATCAAGGGCACTCTGTACCAACTGGGATATCTCCACAAAGACATCTTGTTGTGAAGCCTCAGGATTGAAAACCTTATCAAATGTGAAAGGATACTTTTGCCCTGTTGACAGTGAGATAAAACATAATAAGGGTGTTGCTTTTCATAGAAAACAAAAATTGAGTAGCAAAGAAAGAACACATGCTCATACCATTCTGTATCAAGTCAATGCCACGGCCAAGAGATTCTGTTGATGTAGGATAAGAGACCGCTACACATTCTGCTGCACCATCATCCGGTAATAGAGGACGTACCCGGCAAAATACACGGATGTTCCCTTTCAGTTCCTGCAATTAAATATAACCCAGAATCATTACATGATTACAATCAACAAAGAAAAAGCAATGAAGCAGCAGTACCAAAATAGTATTGTGCAGCTTTTTCCTCAAATTCTCTCCCTCAATTAGTTTATGTTCCATATTGGCCAATTGATCTTGTAATTCTTGTATGATTCTTTTTTGTTCTAAATATTCCACCCTTGTTTCTGAAGCTGATAAATCAGCCATCTAGAGATAGGAAAAGAAAGAATAAGCCATTACATCAACAAATAAATTGATGATAATTTTTGCAGAACAATATTAGAGAAAATAGAGTCTTGAATTTAAGCATTGTTGGTACCTTCAGCTTTTCATTTGCAGCTGCAAGCTGAAGCTCCTGTATTCTTATTCGCTCCCGCTGAGAAGAGCATGTATCCTACAAAAGAAACCTAGCATGTAGTAAAGCTAGCCAAAATGGAATTACTAATTGGAAGAAAAAATCTAAACTAACCTCCAAGTATTTTGATTTCATAGTCAAGTCATCTAATTCTTCAAACGATTTTCCAGCACTTTCTTTAAACTTCACTATTTCAGCCGATAAGGCTTGCACTTTTGACGTTTGGCATTCACGATCATCCCTAACTTGTTGTAGTTCCCCTCGTAGACATTTGAATTCATTAACTAATGTTTCCTTCTGATTAACAGCATCGTCTTGTGAAGCCTGAAAATAATAAAAACCAAAGGATTCAAATCTACTGAAACAGTACTTGTTGTCTCCCTGCAAACCTGAGTGCTACAAAATGCAACGAATAGTCAGGATGTGAGAAGACATGTATATAGAAAACCAGCTACTATATATAAACCGAATGTTACATTACTCGAGTTCAGAAATAAAACAGAAAGGTACACAAAAGACCTGAAAATGGTTGAGCTAGTACGGAAGTAGTCATCATGAAAAATCTGACATAACCATGCAATGGCAAGTTTAAAATAAGATTCAAAAACCCAAATTAAGAAGTTATCGAACTCATTTAATTACTTGAAGCATATGTTGGGGAAGCGAAACAAATAACTGAATAAGTTTAGAAAAATTAAACAACAAGCTAAAACAAAAACCATACCCTTGACAAGGTTAATTGCTCTTGCAATGAACTACAGTGGCCCCTTAAAGTGCTAAGGTTCTCCACTATTGTCAATTTCTCTTTTTCTACACATTTGAGTGACTCGCGGACGGTATCAAGGTCGGTGATTAATTTGGAATTGTACTGTTGCAGACTCAGGATGTACTCTTGTAATCGCTTGTGTGTATTGTCAAGTGAGGTAGCCTGAAAAATACAATAACAGTCAGTCTGAAATAGAAACTAATTTAATAATAGAAACAAATTTAATATATACATTACCCTCTCATTGGCTGCTGCTATATCCTGCTGAGCTTTTTGAAGCTCTTCTGTCAAAGAAGCAATTGTTTTTTCAGCAGTAAGCCTAGCTTCAATTTCACTTCTATGGAGGTTAATAGCATCCTAGATATTAAAATCAAACAAGTATATAAAAGAAACATCAAGGAAGAGCATATATGCACAACACATTTTAAGGTTGATATCATACCTGCTTTTCAGACACTTCCTTGGAAAGCATCTCCTGTAAAGACGCATTGTTGTCCCTTAACTCAGAAATAACTGCATTCAATTCTTCTTCCTTGTTTTTCTTCTCTAACTCTTCGGAATCAAAATTCAATTAAAAAAAACCACAGCAATGCAAATTGACTTTTAGAAGACGTTGAAGTTACCTATATCAATGCATTTTTTCTCAGCAGATTCTAATGAATTCTTAAGTTTCTCTTTATCAAGTACATGATTCTCATCACATTGTTGAAACCATTTGACACAAAGCTTAAGCCTTTTATTATGTTCAGCCGCGTGTTCATATTTAGCCCAGAGAAAAAAAATACAAATAAATGACAAAATTAAAATTTATAAACAAACAACAAAACTAATTACAATAATAGTTTTACCTTGAGATCGAACTTTTTAGCTTTTGGCCTCTCATTCAGTATCGCTTCTACTTCTTCTTTAGTGAATTCATGACATTCCTCTGCATTTCCGGCATCGGCATTATCTGCGGTTGTAGCTTCTTGGAGATTGTTAACAGCAGAAAAAGCTCGTCGGGTTTGCCCAGTTCCCGTGGGTCCCAATCCTCTCCCTACTGCTCCAAGCCTTCTTCGTTTGTCTAACGGATTTTCATCTCCATGTCCCCTCCTCTGAAATTAATAATTAAAACTAACAGGTTGGAAAATTCAAAATCAAAATGACGGAGCTAAAAAAGGGGGGGAATCGCTTACGGTGGCGGGGCTGCGAG